CGAATCAATTCTGGCCCGCCCCTGATATATGGCCTTTTGCTGCTGAAGGGGTACTTTCCTCAATTTTTAAATAATAAAGGTTTTCTTGAAAACGTATAATTCTCTGTGCAAGAATTTTTCTTCTTTCCAAGGACCCGTAAATAGAATTTCGTTGTTGAACATACATCAACACCATCAGCCGTTCACGTATCACGTAAAATAACCCCGTCATATATATATATATATATATACTGTTCATCAGACGATCGCTAATTATCTAAATAGCGTGAAATGTCCTCCTGTACATGCTTTACTATGAGGTGGGTCAAGCATACAGTAGACGGATAAATACAAGCAGTAATACGAGAAAAGAGTAAAAGGACGAGTGCATTACAACTACAATGGACGAGGATGAGTAAGAAAGAAGAAGAAGAAGACCGCGAGCATTGGAATTCGGCGGCCCCTGTCGTCCCTCCGCAACATGGCCAATGTGGGTCAGGCCACGTGCTGGATATATGGTCACTCAGTGCGTGTGTGTGGGAATGTTGAAAAGAAAGTTGGGGTTTTCCCTTCATTGTCCCTCCACACACACACTGCAGTACAGTACAGTATTATACTCGGTCGGTGAGCCGGAAAGTGACGATGAGAGAGAGAGAGAGACAGAGACAGTGTCTGTCCATACTTGCACAGTACAGTACAGTAATGCTCACCTCTATATATACTGTACTTGACTCAACCCATGTTCAGCCTATATACAGTATACATACAGTGCGAGGAGAAGAAAAAGAAAGACTGAAAAGAAGAAGGAGAAGAAGAAAAACGTGAAACACGTGCGCCGCCACCGCGCACATCCGGTCGGTCGGAGAATCCGGTGAAAGCGCGCCGCGTGTCCTTTTCTCTGTCTAATTAATCCGGAATAATACAAGACCGGAAGATAAAATATGCTGTCGGCGGGGAATGACGAGAGCTTTATAGAAGGGGACTGCGCTCCCGGAAATCCGGCAATATAATAAGTCGAGACAGAGTCTCTTTCCTTCTTCTTCTTCCTCTTCTTCTTTTCTCCTCGCACCAGCATGCTTCTTCTTTAATTTATTACTTGCTGATGGTATATACTGCTGGAAAACGAGAGTACAATACATTTAAAGACTGCCACAGCAGCGCATGAGGATATATATAATATGTACTGTATTACACTACCGCGGGAGAAAAAGAAAGAATCCCCGGCCGCCGAGCTTTTTTGTCATCATCATCATTATCATCATCAAACTGCAATAATTATAACTCGACTATCTGTACAAACTACTTTCGAAAATGAAAATCAGCTCTCTCTCTCTCTCTCTGTCTTTTCCGACGGCCTTCTTTTCACATCAGGAAAATAATACCTCGTCTATACTCGTCGTCCGTATAGTTGTGCTGTATATAATAATATACACAATATACACAGAGTCGCCGCCGCTACTAAATAGATGGAGCCAAGACTTTGCCGCCAGCATATGGGACGCGTGCAGGCGGTGGAAAGCGGAACGAAGCCAGGCAATAATGCTTCAGGCGGCGGCGGCCTTGATTTCCGTTCAACTTCTTTTATTGTGCATTTCTCTCTCACTCATCGTCTCGCTCGGCATGGTTTCCTCGCCCTGCTTCACTCATCATGGCGTCTGTATATATAAAGGGTCAATTAAGTGCCAAAAAAAAAAGTGCAGACACACACACGGTCAGCATCAGCCAATTATGAAGCTTCTGGTGGCATCAGCATTTATATACTGTACTGTACTGAACTATACTGTCCATATCATGCAGCAACCAACACATCATGCACGGATGGACCAAATGACCTATAAACAACAAGGAGCTCTTTCAGGGTCATATCTATATATATATATATATATATGACCCTGAAGAGAGAGCACCTCGTTGTTTATAGGTCATTCAGTAAAATTGATTGACCTGATTGACACAGCAAGAGTGTTGTATATGTTGTGAGAAATGAAACTGCATGTCTGCTTTAATATTCAAATTTAATATGACGTGCATCTTCATCAGAACCCGCTATACAAAGAAAAATGGAAAGACAATATGCAACAAACATGCATATGCAATGCAATATATCCCATTTTAACTCATTTCTCGACAATTTACTGCATATACTATAGGATGAGCGCATTGTAAGTAATAGATGAAGTACTGTAATTGGATATTATAGAGCATATATTGGATATTATTATTGGGCCAGTATCCAACAAAAGGTTCAGAAATAAAACAACAAACGCAGCCTTTATAGGAGGCCAGATCCTCGTTAACCCTTGTGTGGCAAAGGCGGGACATTTTTGCAAAATGTTGTTCCACTGATGGGCACTGGGAATAAAAAAAAGCCTACTTTTTTACCAATAAGGGCTAAGTTGGGTAAAAGTTCAAGATTTTTTTCTAATCCTGCAGGAAAATTTCAATGAAAATAAAAAAATTCCCTGGCTGGGTGGCATTTTTTCCTGCATTCCATGGCATATAGGATTTGCATGGGAAAAATCTTTGGAACAAAAGAAAATTTGCCTAATGGATTTTTCCCAACTTGGTCCTCCTCAACCTGGGTGCATTTCAGTAACTGAAATGCGCCACCCCCTGGAAAAAAACCCAACTCCGCTGCGCACAAAGAAAGAACCCTCTGCCATCCAAGGGTACTTTCTAAACAAGACCGAACCCCAGGTACTCAGATACAACAGAACAGTCCTACAAAAAAGACTCCTTATACCTATATACACTCTGAACAGAAAAGACCCACACAAAAATGTCATACACAACAAACAGTCCCTGGCAGGTCCTTTCTCCTCACGGCAAAGCAGGCAAGTGTCCAGCACTGGCTTTGCTGACAATCTTGCAGAAAACAAGAGAAATCCAGTCTATTTGTCCTGGGTCACTGCAATTGCGGCAAACCAGGTGTGCAGCAGGGACTTCCACTCCACGTACCTACCTATACCTACCTGAGGTGCCAATAAGTGGTGTTGCCATGCCCAAGCATCAAGGATGCCTTTTGCTTGGGTCACATCAAGTGCCTACCCCTTAATTAGACTTTCTGATTTTCTCAACTTTCCTGTATTTGTGTCAACATTTAATTTTTTTTAACCTTAGATTCCTTCTTTTTTTTGGCTGAATTGGAATGCGCAGTTTTGTGACGCGCTCAATGCTGCTGCTGGCAGCACCTGCTTATATTATAAACACTGCGAAATACTGTAATTTGCTTCGCTTCGCTGTTCCAAGAAACAGGTAAACGCAAAAGAAAAATAATAATAAATAAGATGAGTGTTTCACTTATACCGTGTCCCGCGCGTGGCTGATGATGCGCGCACCGTTTTTCGCACTACACACCGCAAATTTCCCTTTCACGACATTTCACTGCTCACTTGCGTCGAATCACGGAACCAAAACTATACGCACCCTACCTTACATATATATATACAGTATTTAAGAGAATAAGACAATAAAAGACAGTTACGATGATGATAATCATTTCAAGAAAGGGTTCATTGTACAAAAAGAACAAAAATTACGACTTTACATTCCCAGCACCCGAAAAGAATGGGGAAAAAATCCAATGTTGACTAATTCATACACATGTACAGTATACCGTGTCTTTTCACTTGATTGAATCATTCCTCGTCTATACTCCCTGCTTATTGGCCCATGTTCACAATACCGTTCTCTACTTCAACTGAAAATAAATTTGATAATACTTTACTCTTGTATATATCATTGTACAGTATTGTGAAAGGAAGTGGCGAAAGTTATTGAACCCGAAAAAATACAAAGAAAACGACAATATTTTCCCTTTCCCTTGAGTGATAGTATCGATACAAGTACAGGTGGACTCTGTCTCTCTGAAACAAAATTCCGGTGACCAGAAAAAAATCCTTGTATTCAGAATTTCTTTGTGTGTTATAACCCTTGCATAGCATTCGGAGGGGGAAATCGTTACAAAATTAGAAATCGTGATAGAAACGACATTTGTTGACAATGAGAGTCTCGACATTATCGTAATTTAAATTCAAAATGGTTTCGCGGAAAACAGAAAAGAATTTACCAATTGGGTTGTTCAGCAATATTTGCGTTATTATTGATGCGGGTCATGCCTCATCAGCATTATTCAGTAGCGCTTTTCATCGGCAGACGTTTCAAGCATATTGCAGTCGAATAATGAAGCAAAAAAGAGCGTTTTCTCAATTTTACTTCGCGTGCTATGGCCATAAATTGTGCAGATATACATACACGGCTTGTATATATTCCTTGCATAATGCAGCAGATAGATGACGAGACTGTCGTCGTCGGGCATCCGGGAATGATTCGTCTCCGTGTGTGTGTGTGTGTTTTCGAGCATATATACGGTATATATACATAGACGTGAAAGGGGGACCCGGAATAAGATTGACCCGGACTTTTGACATCAGAGGACAGAGGGGGACACGTCACCGCGGTCCACTTACAGCCGCAACAGGTGCATCACACACGACGAAGCTGGATGCGGACGTAACGGGAATTCCCTGTGTCAGCTAATATGCGGAATATGCAAGACTTCCGAAACCAGCTTTCGGGTCTCTATATATGTTGCCGCCAGCACCAGCAGCACAGGTTCAACAATAACTGTATCTTCATATGTATACTGTAAGTATATACAGTACAGCAGTCGAACCTCTTCAATTAAGTCGAATTTCAAGCGACCAGTACAAGAAGAGAGAGAAAGAATCAAGGTATAGAGAGGTTTTGAGGTATGTATAGAGAAATAAGCGTCCCCTGTGTCTGAAATTCCATTTGAAAGAGTGCATAATAAACCTCCCCCTGAAATGCAGAAAGTAATCAAAAACAATGCCGCTGAATGCTTTTTGAAAGGAAGTGTCAGACTATATGCAGGGGCAAATGAACCCTTGCCTCCAAGTTTAGCATCCTGTCTAGATAAGAAGCAATTTTGGGCCTAGGATATCACCAATTGAAATGCAGGTGTTCATCCCTGTCATGTCTTGTTTTGTCTTTATCCCAGCAACTAATATTTATGTTTTGGATGAAATTTATTAAAGCCTATCAGACTCAAATGTGTTTCTTGGTCCTTTGACAAAAATGTTGACTCGGTATAAGATCTTGCACTATAATTCACCTCAATCTGCTGTAATACAGGTGGTACCTCTTAATTTGACCACTGTGCAATTTGCCTTATCCAGAAATTGGACAGTTAAATTTGCTGGGAGGTTCACACACAATTTGACCTCTGCCCTGCAATTCAACCCGCATACAAACAAACAAATACATCTACTATAATCTATAAAACCTTGCATATGACATTGTCCTTCAATTTGACTGATGGACTAGGGTCAAATTGCATGTTGGCTTCGCCTGTGTAATAAATAATAGCAAAGACAACTTTGGCAACTTTGTACTGTATGCAGTTTTTCCTTATTCTTCTCATATATCTGTATACTGGATGTATACAATAATTCTGTTTGCAGTGGGTGAGTTCAGAGAGAGATACAATGAAAGAAGGTGAAATATTTTTTTTCTTCTTTTGAATTTATTATTGCCTCATTGTCATCCGGATCCAGCAAACCATTTCATGTACATCAGCAGTGAATCATTCATCTCATTCCTATTCTTCTTTTTCTTCAATAACCCCGGATCATAAACCTTCTACACAGCATGTATCAGCAGCAGCAGCAGCACAATAAGATGACCATGATGATGATGATGATGAATTGACAACAGCCATCATGAAAAAAAAAAGAGGATTTTGGAGTCGCTTCTTTCATTTTATTCAAGCCCGCTTGATGACGAGGACTTCGTTGCGTCGGTTGTAGAACTTCCAGGGGGCGTCGTAACCTGCTCGCAAATAGTGGCTAGTGTCGTAGCCAGTCAGGCGAGAGTCACTGGCCAGACTCGTCTTGAGCTTCTCGGCCTCTCTGCTCCACTCGGCCAGTGAAGGGTATCCAGAGAATTTCCTGACGATGATGATGATGACCAGCAGCATCATAGATATATATATATCACACGAAAGAGAAAAAAACAATTTAAAATGAATGAATGAATAAATAAATACCGAAATGATAAAGTGCGTGATTAATTAATGCAATTAATTCATGCTGGATTACATTTTTCAATCCCAGCATATAGCAACATTTCATTCAAATCAGTGCTGATCCTCAGGCACCTCATCATGGTCTGCAAAAGTTTTTTGTCAGTATATATAGTCCACAGGAAAATGTCTTCCACGTGATAAATTTATTAAAAGTATCATATAGTGATGCAAAGTCTGTTATTGCAATCCAACATTTTGGAGACGGAATAATGGTGGAAAAAAAATTCTTGGGTTTTTCTCCAAATAGCAATTCAGGCATATTTTCACCTGCTGAAATGTATTACAGTACTTCCGGTTTTCAACCTGCTCGGCAACCCTTCTTCAAGCCCAGCAGCAACCTATTTTTGAAGACATTTCTACTTTATTATAGCTGCTGGACGGGTTCTTGGCTGACATAATTTTTGCAATAAATGTTATATTATTCTGAGCACTGTATGATGGCAGGTATTTTAAAAAATGTTTTCCTGCTCGTCATCAAAAATTTTACGGAAAGTTGCTGGTTTGCAGAAAATTTTATGAAATAATATGCCGGTCCGTGGAGGATTTTCTTTAAAATTTCCCTGTAGACAAGCCAAAAAAAAAAAAAAAAAACAGTTTGGGAACACTGATGTACTTCACATAATTATTCCTGCTGAATAATGGACAGTTTCTTGCCATAACTTCGTGCAACAACAGCACTCAGCAGCAACAGCATTCGCTGCTTATGGATATGTGCAAATAAACTGTATACACTGGTGCATTGATTGAAAGGTTGAAAGGTTACATTTCGTTGTAGATCGATCGTTCCGAATTAATATGATGTATATTTTACAGTATGCATAGACGCTTTCTTGCGTCGAGTTATTATTACTTGCAATTAAACGCATTTCTGCAGCACGCCCTCGCGCAAATGATTATGCATCAGGAACCAACCCCTTTCCATCAGCAGAGTCAATTATGGCGTGACCCTCGTGCTTATTTTCACACCTCATGACTATTATATTATACGTATATTTAGCGGCACATTCACACCGAATTACGGTACATTCGAACGCATTTCAGTCAGATTTGCTCGAAATTTTCGGCGCAATTGGCCCACCCACCCATATTGAAAGAGGAACGACACCCCGTATTATTGGCGGACCGATTTATATCACTTGACCCAAAAACAAGGGGTCTTTTTGGTAGAAAAAAAAAGTAAATAAGTTAAGAGGCAATTTCTACAGAAATGGCGGATTAAGCGAGACTATAGACATTTCTTTTTTTAAATTTTTCTGACTAATGCGTCACGGTTCACTGATTGCTTGGGGTTTGTTTTTCGTATATATATATATATATCGGAGGAATCTGCATTTCGAGAAGAAATGGTGACATGTGTTGAACGCGACGCGACGTGTGGTGTTTGGAAACCGAAGCCAATGACCTTTTTTCTCCGACTGAGTAAACAGGTCGTATTTCTCGACATATATGCGTAAATGCGGTGAATTTTTCGAACCATAAGGATAGCAGTGGTTCATTTTCATTTTTTTTTTATTGCAATACACCGCGCGAGAAGCATGCATGAATAAATAAACTCATTTATGCAAATTATTATATGAGCAAAATGCCGTTATTGATGCCTCGTGTCCAAACTCTTATTTACAATATACACCTGCACTTTTTTTATCCCTCTCAAAGTCTGTATATCGACCGATAAATTCCAAACTAATCGTGACATCCCAAATCCCACCTTATTATTTTGAATGAGTGATGGAGAATAAATAAAAACAAGTGTACTGTATCCTGTTACTGTACTGTACAGCATAATCCGTCATCCCGCCCAAATGAATTCGAGTTGAGCAAAGTGAAAGTGAAATAAATTCAGTACAGTACAGTAGTATATTATTCCATATTCTGTGTGAAATATCATGAGCAAATATTGAGTTAGAAATTAACAATAAAGTACCTATTTTAATTTCAATAGACGTACACAGGAGAAAATATCTGTACTGTACGAACAGCCAGCAGCAGTTGACAAATCTGGGTTATAGCAAAAAGTATTCATATATGCACAGAAAAAGCTCTCTTCAATTCTTCAATTTTCCTAGAAATTCCAACAACAAAAAGCTAAAAACCACCGGGAGATTATGTGCCGCATCATCTGCTGCTCTACTAGTGAGTGAGTGAGTGAGTGAGTGAGTATGAAAACCATGACAAAATTGAGCATCATTCGATCTTGCCTTTTATTAGTTTTAAACTTGAAAACACGATAATAATGAAAAAAAAGCAGTTGACCGTATGATTTGCATTTATGTACAGTACTGCTGTACGTATTTGGGTTCTTTTGCAATTGACTGTATTGCACTATTTTTGTGCACACTTTCTCTATTTCTTTTTCTTTCTTTGTCTGACGTACCTGACTGCAACCCGACTGTCGGGTTCGGCGACGATGTGAACCCGTTGGTCAGTGGGTGTCGGGGTGCTGGACTGGAACGCCTCGGGCACGTAGAAACACATTCGCAGGGTGTCGTCGCCTCCCCACGGGACCAGACATGCCACCGGGATCGTCATGTCAATCTTCACCCCTGTTAATCAATCTCGTTGTTGTTATTATTATTATTATTATCCTCACATATATGTATGTGCACCGATCACGCCTCGTCATATATATATATATATGTCATCGCGTACAGTATTATTAGCTCACCTCTGGAGTTGGCGCCGGTGATGTAGTCGAAGAGACGGTAGAACATGTAGGTGATCCTGCCTTCGTCGTCGGCTGTTGAATTGGTGCACACCCACTTCCGGCTCGGGTACATCCGCTCTTCGTAGCCCTGCAATAATATATACACACAGCAGTTGACTATGGTACCGTACAGTGTATTGATTACTACAGTATGAACAAGTGTGATGGTGCGATGATGAGAACAACCGAATCAAGTACAGTACAGTATATATAAAGCAAAGTTGATGCATGAAAATACTGTATACATTATAGCCATCATATGCAAAGTGAAACGTCGTTCGACAAATCTCTTGATCGACCGCGGTTCTCTCGTGTATACATTTAATACAGCACAGGTATTACTCCCGTTTCTATTTACATATCAGGTACGTGTGCATATCATTCCTCACCTTGCCTTCGTAAACCACCGTGTATGGAGGCTTATCATAGCCCGAGGCCAAGGAGTCCAATGCCGACCTGCCAAAGTGCAGCATTCCCAGCAGCTGTCAAAGAACAACAACAAGAAGAAGAAAGAAAAATTTTTAAAAATGCAATCTCATCATGTTCATCTTTCCTGTTTTACTCAGCAGTATCATGATGAGGCATGACGAGAAAAGGGTGATTGGCACCGGGAAACCCAAATAATACAGTGATGTGTCCAATCTATAGCAGTGTGTATTTCACATTGATAATGGAAAAAATTGTCACTATATACAGTATATAGTAATTTTGAAAAAAGGTACTGCATTGTACATGTCATATATAATGATTGCTGGAAAAAACACTTCCAACAGCAGTCATAGATGACCTTTTAAATACAGTATCAGCAGTAAATGGAAAATTATTGAAAAGAACAATTCAAGTCTGTGTGTGTAATTTCTGACATTTATTGGAAAAGAAAATAGTTCTTTCAATAACAGAGCAAATATTTGACGATAGTGCAATTACCAACATATTGTATTATATTTAGTCTCAATAAAGATGAGGAAAATACTGTTTATTCTTTTTCAAAAATAAAGAAACTATACAAGCAAATGCACTGTAATAAAAATGTCCATGCAGTATCAGAATTTTAAAGCATCAGTCTCTGACCTGGGCTTGAGACTGTTGCGCAGCAGCCAGGAAACACACCAATGCCACAAATGCCTTCATTCTTTAACTTTGTAATTTTTAATCTAACACAACCAACAAGCCCTTTATATATACACACATGTATATGCATACACCACATGAACCACCATCCCCACCAGCACTATACACAGCTTGCTGGACACTTTGAAAAAGTATAACCTTTTCATTCAGAACACCACCATATTCACAAGTGCTGTTGCATACTAGCAGCACAGTATACAGTATTATAATGAGACCAGCAGCAAGCACATGCAGTCCTCAACTGGTGATCTCACAGCCCAAACAACCAGAGCACATTCACAAACAGTATATACACACATCAGGCCTATATTATCAGCACAGGATCCCTGACACTAGAGAAGGAGCATCTGCAAGTCGTCACTATACACACAGAGATACCCTGCATGGAAGGATCATTTGCTGCTGATACTTGTTGCCAACGCCGATCGAAAGATGCTCACATTATTATTATTTTTTTTTTAATCACAGAGTATTAAGAATGAGTATAATAAATAAATAAACAAAAATGCACAGACACACTCGACAAAAGAATATTGCTTGCAGCAGAAAAAGTACCCTCTGATGCGTGCTGCTGTCGAATGTCAATGTCACTCATCACCGCCGATGACAGCAATGTCGCAGAAAGCCTGTAGTGTCACTCCATGGTGGCGTGACGACGAATAAGCAATTTTGAAGCATAGTGTCTGTGTCGAAAACAACCCGCCTGCTAAATAGACGGAAGAGAAGAAGAAGAAAAGAAAAACAGATTTAAATGTGCGCATTAAGTATAGGCTCGTTATTATTATTTTTTTTCCGCTGCTGCTCATTCCACGCGGCCGTGCTCTGTGTGTCGTCCAGAAAATCCGAGCATTCGCAGCTTGATTCATTCTCACACAGGTGTCGCTACCGCACAGAAAAAACAGCCTTATGAAGGAGAAAGAAAAGAAGGCTGGTTTATTTGTTTTTTAATGAAGGAAAATAAATGGGAGAGAGAGAGAGAGAGGGAAAATCCCGTAATAATCCCAGCAGGGGGGGGGGGGGGGGAGAACTGTCTGTCTGATGCCTGCCTGCCAGCCAGTAATCTGTAAAGATGCTGTCTTGCTTGTTGCTGATGCCTGCCTGCCTGCTGGAAAAAAGGAAATTAAAGTAGCTGTGATGGCCACGCGGTCCCGTTCCTCTGAACCCTGGGGCCAACTTCTTCCCACCACCAGCTGAACGAGCAACAACGAAGACGGAGACGACGACGATGACGATGACGACGACGAGAGTCGCACTCATCTCATATCTCGTCATCATCATCATCATCCAGCAACAGCAGCAGCACCAGTAGCCAATACCCCCCCATCTCAAAGGCCCTTTTATTCCTTATTTTCATCATCATTTCCGGAAAATGCCAAAGACGATGATGAGAGATGAAATGATTGCATATTCGCCTGCATTCACTCGAAGGAGGAATTTGGCGTGGTTCCTCTCTCTCTCTACATTCTACACACACTTACTCGGAGACAAAAGAACACATTATTATTGAGGCAGGCATTCGGAGAAACACAGCGGTACGTTGGTCGATATCCGGGGGAACTGGGGCAGTTTGGTCAAGAATTTTCTTCATTTTTCTTCCTTCTTCCCGGCCTCAATTTATTTACCTGTTATTCCTCCACCACCAGCAGCCACCTGAAAGAAGTTACTGCACAAATGACCGGTATCCAACTGAACGTTCGCACGCCTCGTCATTCGTCATTCAGGCGGTATTACAGTATATATTCATGCAGCCGAAGCAACTGCACAGCTTTTCTACTGTACTGTACTGTACTGCTGTGCTTCACTGCTGTATACAGTGCATAAATCCTATACGTTTTCTCCATATAGTCTTTACTATACATGCACAGAGGCAGGAAACATTATTTAAAAAAAAAGGCTGTGAATTGCTTCATCGTCCTTTTCACTATAAACAGTCTATATATTATACTGCGAAAATCATTTCCGCTCTCTGCATTATTTTCTTGTCGTTGTTGTTGTTTTTAATCGTGCACGCGTGTGAGGAAAAGGAACATGAGGTAATTTACAAATTGTTGACCCAATTTTTTTTTTCTTTTCTGCGATACGAAATGCATCTGGACAATAAACAAAATGTGAGTCACGAGGCCGAAAGAACATTTCCAACAAATATTATAAACTGCACGTACTGCAGTACAAGAAACAAATGAGTACAGTAGTTGAATTTTCGAGTTTTGGCTCTTGATTTCTATATAATATAAGATAGATTACAAATATATGGTTCATCGTTTGTCATCAGAAAAACTGACTCATCGCATTTTCTCCCCCTTGATCATCCCAATAGTTTCTCCAATTCAACGTATATATAGCATGATACACAGTATATTGAAAAAATAATACTGTATATAGAAAAAGGTCGTTGAAAGCATATTTCCGAAAGGTTTGTACTGTACATATATCAGCTGCTCGAGTTCCGGGTTGCTCTACACTGCATATACAATATATATATACTGTATATATGTATACACACGCTGACAGCATTCACCAGCTGCATGCAGTCTCGTCCGAATGTCGAGCCATCATGCACAGCATGCTTGGCAAGCCTCGACGCATGCACAGCATATATTCCTCCGATGAGGTATGTCAGAAATTCGGATTTAAAAGGAAAAAAAAAAGGACGAACATGTCGTCCGCGAAGGTTGCTGATGGGCAGCAATAAGGTCTCTTAATGAAAAACATATTCCCGCCAAATGAATATATACAGTATACTGTATTACTATATTTGAAAGAGAGAGAGAGAGAAAACACAAATCATGGGAAGTTTTGCTGCTGTTGCTGCTGCCGCTGGTTGGTTTTTTCTTCTTTTTTCACGTGTATATACGTACGTGGGGATGTGATGGGAGAGCCATCGTCAGCAGCAGCAGCAACAATGAGAAGTTTACAGCAGGATTCAAGAGATGAGAGAGAAGATGAGAAATAAAAATAAAATGAAGAAGGCAGGGATTTTTCCCTTCTTGCATCCCATTGACCTCTGCCTCGGGGCATGTTGTTCGGAATGGAGCAGCAACGACGAAGACGAGAAGGAGGAGGAGGAGGAGGAGGAATGGGACTATATACACGCACGCACGCGGGGGGGAGGAGGAGAAAAAAGGAACCCCCCGTTAAGTGGGCCAGAAACTGGGCCAGGAGCTTTGAACCCTGGATAACAGGACACTAGGCCTTATTTAGTCAGCATATCTGAGCACCACCGGTTGCCTCACCTTGCCCAATGCCCGCAATGAGGATACACAGCGGCCGCCGATGAGAGAAACCTCAACCATCAACAGAGTTGCCAGCAGCACATCACCAATGAAAAAAAAAGTAACATAATGATAATAATAATAATAATAATAATAGTCATAATTCTGCTACTGCTCCTCATTCATTCATTCATTCAAAATTTAGCATTAGAAAATGCATTTGTTTCAGAAAGAATGCAGCACCAGCAGGGGTTTCGTCATTCCATCAGAAAGGGGGTATATATTATACGTGATGCTGAGTCATTATTATTAAAATATACAGTAGTTGCATCGCGGAAAGCGGAAAATTTGCAGAGAAATACACTTGTGCTGAGCATTTAACTAAAGCCCTTTCGTCAGGGGATTTATTTGCTATACAGATGATTATATCCATCATGTTGCTGCTTTTTTTTTTTTAATTAAGTGAGTTCTGTTGGTTGCATCGTCGTCATGGATTTCCATTTCCGTTCCTTAATTTTCAGCACAATTCTTTTTTTTTTTAAACACATACCCACACGCAGTCATGACAGTATTTATAAAGTCACTTTCATATGAATGACAGCGTCTTTCAAGTGAAAGTCAGCAATTTGTGCATCTCTTCGACATATTTAATTTTTATTTTTTTTATTCAGAAAACACAAGATATTTCCGTATACTCGTCCTATCAACGTTAATTAAGGTCCAGGAAATTGGTGAAAATATATACAGCATACAGGTATATAGCTTCAAAAGAAAAAGCAATATCAAGAATATAACACTAGGCCTTATTTAGTCAGCATATCTGAGCACCACCGGTTGCCTCACCTTGCCCAATGCCCGCAATGAGGATACACAGCGGCCGCCGATGAGAGAAACCTCAACCATCAACAGAGTTGCCAGCAACACATCACCAATGAAAAAAAAAAGTAACATAATGATAATAATAATAATAGTCATAATTCTGCTACTGCTCCTCATTCAGAATGCAGCACCAGGGGTTTCGTCATTCCATCAGAAAGGGGGTATACGAGTACGTGATGCTGAGTCATTATTAGTAAAATATATAGTTGCATTGCGGAAAGCGGCAATTTTGCAGAGAAATACACTTGTGCTGAGCATTTAACTAAAGCCCTTTCGTCAGGGGATTTATTTGCTATACAGATGATTATATCCATCATGTTGCTGCATTTTTTTTTTAATTAAGTGAGTTCTGTTGGTTGCATCATCGTCATGGATTTCCATTTCCATTCCTTAATTTTCAGCACAATTCTTTTTTTTTTTAAACACATACCCACACGCAGTCATGACAGTATTTATAAAGTCACTTTCATGTGGGTGACAGCGTCTTTCAAGTGAAAGTCAGCAATTTGTGCATCTCTTCGACATATTGAATATTTTTTTTTTTATAAGTCTTTTGTGTTCTATAAAGGCATATGAGCAGGATAGTTGCAATTAATTCCAGGTCCTTTAACCACTTTTATATATGTCGTATGTCCATATATCGAAGTTTTCTTTTTCGTTATAGTTCTTATATTAAAAAAAATTAATGAAAAATGAATGGCAACCCTGTGGGGTTTTTTTTCCCCCTACATATGGCCTGTTGCACCGCCGCAGGGCGTCCAGCAGTGGAATGCGATTAACCTGGCAAACAGCGGGTTCCTCCGGGATTCGTCCCTGCCTTTCTTCCTTCCCCCCCACCCCCTCCATTCTACGTTTAAGAAAGAACTCGTATAATACTCGTCGGGTCATCTCTCGCATTCCATCTCTCTGTATACAGCTACTCACTTGCTTGCCTCTATATACCTCCTGCTTAACTAAATACTTACTTAGTTAGTTGCACTTACTTGAGTATACTCCCTTGATCGACTTGTATTATTTCATATAGTTGGTTATTATTGTTGAGCCAG